CCACACCAAGACCTACTAGCTTCAACGACCAAAGCGGAAAGAGAAGAATGGAACAGAATTTGGACTACGACAAATAGAACCGAAAATACACGACATAGCACACCATTTCTATCAAAAAATACCAAACAACAATATAAGCAGACAATCAGCGGTAATCTACACAGATTCCTTGACTACAATAAACGCGATAACAAACATCAATAGCAACAAAAAGAACGAAGTCATACAAATGATTCAGGAAACATACACCGAACTTACTAACGACCACAAACGTGTAATAATCACCTGGATCCCGTCATACTAAGGAATTGAAGGAAACGAACAAGCCGACTCCTTAGTCAAAGAAGCAACAATCGATCAAACAAAAGAAACCAACATCCCACACCAAGACCTACTAGCTTCAACGACCAAAGCGGAAAGAGAAGAATGGAACAGAATTTGGACTACGACAAATAGAACCGAAATACACGACATAGCACACCATTTCTATCAAAAAAATACCAAACAACAATATAAGTAGAAAAGAAAGGATGGCTATGACTAGGCTTCGAATTGGACACTCCAAGATCACACGCGAATACCTCCTAACCTAAACAGAATCACCTTTCTGCAACACCTGCAACCAACAAATCACCACCCAGCACCTGCTACATGAATGCAGAAAATACCGAAGCATAAGAAGTAAATACGGATTAAACCAAAACACCGTTCTAACCTGCCAGAAACAACAAAAAAACGTTATCAACTACCTAAAGGAGACCCAACTACTAGACCAGTTATAAAGAAAATCAATTTCAACACGTCGCTAAAGACCTCGTAGCCGATGCGACGCTAAACCCCCATGTTAAAAAAAAAAAAAACCGTTCGGAGTTACTTCGTTTTTCGACTGTAAATATTTGATAAACAGAACAATTAGATGCGACACTAAACCCCCATATTAAAAAAAAAAAAAAAAAACCGTCCGGAGTTACTTCGTTTTCGTCTGTAAATATTTGATAAACAGAACAATTAGAGCGACCTTTCAATTTGGACACCCTGTTTTCCAGGAAATTCAATTTGAAAATTCGTTCACGTACACCGAGTCAATTTCCACCTACGCGCTTACATTCATTTTTCTTTGGGAATCTTGAATCACCGCAAATGTCATTTGTGGTGGAAATCAAATGGAAACAGGGAAACAAGGATTGACACAAACAAGATTAACGAGAAAGATTGAGGTAGAAAAGGATTGTCTCGAGAAAAATCTTGAAGAACTTCTTTCACGAGCGATAGTTAAAATGGAATGAAAATATTTGAGTTATAATTTAGGTATGACGCTCAAATTAACGACGAATTTGTGAAAAATAGTTGCGAATAATATAATTTCGTATCGTCAAATTTCAATGGGAGCAGGAACATTCGATTGCAAATAAAACGAGGAAGGATACGTGTAAATTTGTTTACGATCGATATTTGAATCTCTTCTCTGTGACAGAATCATGTTTCAAACTCGAATAAGAATTACAAACGTCATTTGCTAGATTTAACTATTTCATCAGACGCTATTGCCGAAATTCCAAAGGTTGTTCCCATTAATGGATCAAACATCGAAGGTTATTGAAATCAAAATGAATTAACCGAACTGCATTACATCGTGTTACATTATTATTATGTCACGTTAACATTGAAAATTAAATTTCAACATCGTTCCATCGTAGTATGCCGTTTCAATATCGAAAACATCGAGCCGCTGACATTAGAACAAATTTATATTAAAACCGAAAACGGGACGAAGACAGGTGAAACTTGACCATTTTTACGTAATTTCTCCAACGCTATCGATCGCGTCAAGAAATTCACGGGTCAACGATAATTTACAGCTTGCACGCGACGGCAAACGATTCGATATTAAAATGCCAGGCTTCAATGAAGAAACGATATTAAAATGGAACACGGACAGTGAACCAACACTTTTCAAACACTATTGAAATCGGCGAGCGGCATTCAACAACTGAGAGGAACTTTGTAAATGCACAACATTCTCGAAGATCCAGGTTCACTGAACAAGGGATCAAAGAAACTCCAATCTCGTTTACGATGAGCACAAAAGAGGAGATGGATATGTTACTTCCTCCCTTTTTTTTTTTTCTTCTTTTTTCTTCCTTATTTCCATTCTTTCTTCTTTCCTCCTTTTCCCATTAAATATATGTCTGTTCATCGAGAGAAATGAACGAGAAAGAGAGAGAGAGAGAGAGAGAGAGAGAGAGAAAGGGAAGGGCCAATCTCGTAATCAGATTTCACGAGTTAACGACTTAATTAAATCGGCACAAAGGAAATGGGAGAGAAGAGAAGCTCGGGCAGTGTTGTTGTAGTAAACAGCAAGTATTCGATTCTCACGCAAAATGAAACGATCGGGGCGAAGTTTCCGCGATTGAATTAAAAGGGGGATGAATATAAAAGAAAAATGGAACGCCGGTGTAAGAAAGTGTCGTTCATTTGATTGGACGTACATATGTATAGAGAGAGAGAGAGAGAGAGAGAGAGAGAGAGAGAGAGAGAGAGAGAGAGAGAGAGAGAGAGAGAGAGACAGTTCTGTAATCGATCGTACGACAGAGAAGAGAATGGAGAAGTAAATTGGAAACGCGGAATAAAATTTTTATACGAGCGAGAAAAAAGACAGAAGCAAATGTGAAACGTAGAGCGAAGTTTTTATACGGAGGGAATGTAGAATAAAATGTTTCATACGAGTCTCTGGGAAAACATTCTCGAGAATGACAATTTATAGTAGAAAAATATTAACATTAAAGGTAACTCGATACAGTTTCGATTGAATACAGTTCGAATTTTTCTAATTTTTCTGAGAGTGAAGCTTCGAAGTCGGTTCGCCCGATCATAGAGAAGAGCATTTTAATTTCCCTAAACAATGGCGTGGCTGGCAAAGCGGCTTCAAAGTTACAACAACAGCCAGTAGAGGGTTAAATTCATTTGCTGGAAAACTGCACCTTATACTTATACCATGAATTACGAAGTTTCAAACTCAGGACACTTAATTATACGATTGTTGTGCAAATTCTAATTACTTGAAAGCGTCAAGTCGTTTAAATTACGTCTTAACTCTACAGAAATGTTGCGTTTCATCGCGAAGAGAGTTCTATTTAAGCAACAACTATAAAAGGTAGAAACTGTTACTCGCGAATTCCGTATCGTAAATGTAGATCGAAATTTTTTTTCAAAAAAAAAAAAAAAAAAAAAACTTACATCTTGTTCAATGGTATGATTGAAGTACGTGACGTAACCAGTGTAATATCCCATGAACGTGTCGAAACCACGATAGGCTGGCGTATGATAATCACTGTAATAGCCAGTGTGCCATTTTCCTACAAGATGCGTGGCGTATCCTAATTTCTGTAAATATTCCGGCAGGAGAGTGTTGCCCAAAGGTATGGCGCGTCGTTCTCCCGCCTTTAGCGGATAACCTTGCATACCTGTCGTGGAAAAATATATTATATATTTTTAAAAATATATTAAATATGTTTATTAACACTCGTATGCAAGACAATCCATTAAACGATAATTAAACTAAAATGCTATGAATGTTTAATGTTCTACATTATCTTTCGTGGAATGTCCAAAATTTGCTCTTCCTTCGAATATCTGTGAACGATTCCGTGGTACTTCTTTTTTTTTTTTCTTTTTTTGATATATGTTGTACTTAATTGTGATGTATATACTTAATTGTTAAATGAATACACATAAATGAACGTGTTGTAAAAGTTAATACATAGATAATATATCTCGTGCATTATATGCGTGGCAATCTTTTGATTTACATATCTTTATACCAATATTTAATAATTTAAAATTTTTAAAGTTTTCTGAAATTAAAATATTAAATATCGTTGAAACAGTATATGCTATGGAATAATATATTACATACTGTAAATGGCATATTATATCTTTTTGTATATGTTATTATAGTATATAACAATAATATAATAATATACCTAGTAACATATACAAATATATATATAATACGATTGGCAATTAAATATTATAAATATTACATATATTACATATATAAATAGTATAGTATATTATATTATTACATATATAAATAGTATATTATATTATATTATTATATATATAAATAGTATATTATATTATATTGTTAATTGCATCATACTATAATATCGCTTGATTATCAATTACATTTAAAATAGTTGGTTATATTAAATATATTAATTATATTATATTATAGTTGAAATAGTCAAGTTGCATTAATTATATTTGAAATAGTTAAAAAAATAATAATAATAGAAGCAGTTCATATAGCAGAAATGAAATTAGATGGAAAAATATGTGAGCACAATTAACTGAACGATACGAATACTTGACAAAAACAGAATAATAAGTACTTGAAGGAAAAATTCTCCATTATTTCACTTAAAATTGTCCTTGTGTGATATGTTATCTTTCATGGAATTAAAAAAATTACATTACTTGAAAGAAAAGAACTTATATGACTTTAAAATTCTGTTCATTACCGATAAGAAGAAATGTTTAACTGTTATCAAACGAATAATTACCTCGTTATCTTACACCAAGACAAGAAACAATTAAACGTGCAGTTTAACGTAAGTATGCCATATATGCTTTTGTGTAATAAAAAATGACATTGAATTCTACTGAAAATACTTACGTACCACTTTTGAAACAGAAGAAAAGTCAAAGAAGAAAGTCAGTCAAAAGAAGAAAAAAAAAAAATTATGACTCCTCTTAGAGAGAATCAAAAAATTATTGGCACGCTTAGCTGTTTTGCAATACCTTTATGAAAACGAATGATACATTAACAAAATCTTTAATCTTATCATTTGTTTTGATATCGCCAAGTAACCGGGTGTGCCAATACCTTATAAAATTTAGATTTCTTAAAAAAGAAAAGTGTGTTTCAATTTATTTTAATTTTTAATGTTGTAATTTTTTTCATCGTTTTCCTCACCAGTGACTCTGTTTTATGGCTGTGAATTGCTCAAGTGTAACTCTGACCTAATCCGAATCACATTGCAAAGATAAACAATTGCACGACTCGCGAGTGATAAAAAAAAAAAAGAAACGCAAATACTTACATATCGATCGCCTAGATCGCATTTAATAGAGTACCTGTTCGAATAGGATAACGTCCAGTAAGAAAGGCTGTCCTTGATGGTGTGCATATCGGTAAAACGTAGTGTCGTTGTAATATCACGCCGTTGTAAGCCAGAGCGTCTATATTTGGCGTGGGTATTTGATTGGCACCGTGAAAACTCACGTCGTTCCAGCCCTTAATGAGAAATTCCAGGAATTCAATATTGTATCTCATTTGCATAATCGGTAGACTGTTCACTTGCAAGTAATAAGATCAGAGTGAACAGCGATTCTATCTAAGATTTGCATTCTCAACGTAGCTTGTATTGTACTCGAAGAACGTTCGATACTCTTGTCCTTTATTTTTCAATCACGTGAAAAAGTTTTTATTGAAAACTTGTTTTCTTCTTTGTTAAAATAAATAGAAATCTTGTACTCTCGAATCGCGTAGAAAATTGTCGAAATTTTATTGAAGATTTTGTCTTTGTCGAAATGTTACTGCAACTTTCTTATGTGTGGGAATTATCAAAAATTGCGTCGTTTTTCATTGGAAAAAATTGATGACTAAAAACCTTTATCCTTGTAGAAAATTGTAAATAAATTTTATTAAAAGTGTCCTTTCTATGAAAATTATCGAAAATTGCATCATTGCTTCTATAAAAAAAAGAAAATAAATTTGCCCTTGGATCAACAAATTATTGTAAATTTTATTAAAGAGTATCTTTCTATGAAAATTATAAAAAAAAATTTCATCTTTGATGCTGTTTCTATTCAAAAAAGAAAATGAATATTTAAATGAATATTTAAATGAATAATTAAATGAAAATTTATCTTTGAACCATGTAACAAATCGTCGAAATTTTACTGAAAACTTCCTTTCTATAAAGATAAATTACATGTTTCTATTAAAAAAAAGAAAAAAAATGAATAAAAATCATTATCCCTGACACATATAAAAAAATGTGTCAAAATTTTGCTGAAAACTTTTCTGTCATGAAACGATTGTTAAACTATTGATAACAATAAAACGGAAAATTTTTACAAACATTTGAGAACTAATCAAAGTTTCAATTCAATTATAAAAAATATATGTAATTTCAAATACATAATAATAATATTAACAAGTAATAATATAACAATAATATAATGCAAAATAATAATACAAAAACAAAATAATATAACAAATTTAATTTGCAATATTATAACTTCAAATTTATAATTATATATTTGCGACCCGTTTTATGGTACGGGTCTAAACACGGCATGAAACAAGAATAAGGATTAAACACAATTTATGTCGAGTTCACTCCTGTTTCATTCGTGTCCAAAACGAATCGAAAGTACACGCATCGAATCGAGATATTGCACGCTCGTTTGCACGAATTCTCTGATCTTTTTCCAATTGTTAACCGTTAAGACGTTTCCATAAATAATGGGTCGTTTCCTATTACATTCTCTACCAACAATATGTCTTACGTTTCTCTTGTAAATTCATATCGTGACACCCGTTAGTTTCAATTCTCAATTCTCATTACTTCTCGTTTTTATGGGACTTTAGACAAAAGAGAATGTATCACGAGGCATGATTACGTACGTACATATATTGACTCGCGAGAATTCACCATAGAAGAACTTGTGCATGTACAGTGACACATGTATTTATATAGTTTAAAGTTTCTGTGAACATCGCAGAAATAATTTGTTTTATTTATTATATATTTTAATATACTTTGTAGAATATATACTTTATTATGTAGAATATATACTTTATTTTATGTTATTTGCAATATGCTATTTTTTTATATTATTTGCAATCCTCCATTTTTCATAAAATCTACATTCTTATTAATACATGGATTTTAAAATATTTTTGCAAACATCATTAAAGAAATATTAGAACGTAAAAATAATTTGTTTTATTTATTA